TGTAATATTAGAATTGATAATTTAATCAAAGTAGATATTTGTATAATATTAATTTAAAAAAATCTCATATTTGATATTCTTAAATTTTTATTACTAAATTTATTATTTATAAGATATATAATATTTATGGATAGTAGTTGCACTTGTATAATTGATAGCCAATAGTGGTTGTCTATTATATTTATACCGCCTTTTCCGCTTGAAAAAAGTTAAATTTTGCGGTTGATTTAATTTGAAATATAATCGACAACTATTTTGAAACATAATCGACAGAATTTCTGTCGAATATATTCTATATATATACATACAGAAATATAATTAGCAAATATGTTCTCATTTTCTTCTATTTCTCCCCTCCTCCTTCCTTTCCCACAGATGTTTCACCTCGTTTCCCTTCTCCCTCTGTCCTTATCATCGTCATCTTCTTCTTCTCCCTTTCATTTTTATTTTTCTTTTTTCTTTCTTCTTTCTTCTTCTCCCTTTCCTTTTACCTTTCTAATTCTTGCATTACGTGTCTTCATCTTTCCCTCTTGTTTCTACTTTTCTTTCATCATTCCTTCTACCTTTCTTATTTTCATTTTTGGTTGCCATCCTTCTGCTTTTCCTTCATTTTCTTTCATTCTTTCATCTCAAGCTTTTTATTTTCTTTTGTTTATTTATTTTTTGTTATTTTCATTTATCATCCAATTATTTTTATTTGATCTACTATAATAATTTTTTTTTCATTTTTGCAGATTATTAAGCTTAAAATCATTTTATGAGGTAAATTCACATTCTAATTTATATTTTTCATTTCCTTTTACTTAAATAAAATTTTATAATGTGCAATAATGCTTTTTCATTTCCCTTGTACAGATATTTTACTTTATTATAGGTAAATTACTTATCATTTATCTTATTTTTCCATTAATTCTCATAATATTTGAATATTATTCTTATTTTTCAATTATTCTCAAAATCATTTAATATATATATTGTTGTTGCACTTGATTGATTCTATCATTGAATTTTGTTTAATGACTTTATAATTTAATTAACAACTACAAAATTAAAAATTTAATTCTACATTTTTTAATTCTAAATTTTTTTTATTACTAGAATAATGCTGTCGATTATACTATTTTCGACTCTTGTTTATTTGATAAATTTAATTGTCAATTATGTCTGTCGATTATATCTATAATTGATAGAATTCTTTCTATAATCGACAGTATTGTCTGTCGAATATACTCTGTTTTCTAGTAGTGAATAATATAAAAAGCATTCCTTTATCCTATGAAAGTGTATCTAAACATTGATACCACCTCTCAAATACAAGTAAGATAGA